TTTGGATATTTATTCTTCTGCCTTCTCTCTCTCTAAACCTCTTGGCATTGGTGGATTACAACATAGAGGGAGTACCTTCTCTCAGTGCTGAGAGTTTAAAGGTGAAACTCTACTTTGAGAACTTGTCTAATTGAGTGGCTACAAAGGGGAGTAATCAACAGGCATCCTTTGATTCCTGAGCTTTTTGTTTATTTTCTAATCCTTTCTAATCTTGGATTTTCAGGCAACACCTGAGCGTCTCATCATGCACTTAATAGAAGAACATTCCATTGTAGACCCAACTTATATAGAAGATTTCCTGTTAACTTATAGGACATTTCTTGGAAGTCCTTTGGATGTTGGAATCAAACTGTTGGAATGGTTTAAGATTGACAGCTTAAGGGATAAGGTTAGTTTTATAAACAAAAAGGGCATGAAAGTGATTTTAACCTTTAAATTTTATTTATGAAACCTTTTGCAGTTGATAGAGTAAATGTTTATTTTGATAAGATTCGGTTCACCTAAAAAATTAGTGAGTTGGTATAGCCATATCTCTGCTTATTTACTTTTATGACAGAAAGACATGTTAAAAGTTGGCATGAACCTCAAAAAGCAAAAACTGAAATAAGTCTATGATGTAGCTGTAAATTTAGGAAATGTGATAGTTGCATGAGAGCATTTTAGAATTTTACCAAAATATTTCATTGTTTCTCAAGATCAATAAAACATTTAAAAGCTGATTAATAATTTAGAAAGAATATTCACCAAATATAGATTTTTTTCAAGAAGGCTTAGATTGTTTTTAAGCCTCAAAATAGGAATATTTTGCTTTTCCTGAGTTACTACATAATCATCTGAAAATAATTTGTCAAACCTTAATTAATCTTTCCTGTGACTTACTTAAATCTACCTATGAGTATTTTTTTTTGTATTCAACATTATTTGCTATTTTTAATAGATTATCTTCCCTTATTTCATGGAATATGCTTATACATTTAATGGAAAGACTATTAATACCTCAGCATCCCAGTGGGCAGTAGATTGTTTATGAGAAAATAAAAAGTAGGGCCATAATTACATGGTGCGTGTTTCTGAGTTATATTTTAAAGTAAATAAGATGGATGCAGGTAGACTGTGGAATTCTATTATTTAGGAGATTGAAGTATCTAAAACTACAGGCTTGCCTTCCTCCCCCGCTTTTTAGAATTAAGTATAAGTTACTTTGGTTGTTGAGAAAATAAAGGAACACCCAGGGAATGAACAAAAATATGATTTAGGGGGCTGGTCCGTGACTCACTTGGGAGAGTGTGGTGCTGATAACACGAAGGCCACGAAGGCCCCCTATATAGGGATGGCCGGTTAGCTCACTTGGGAGAGTGTGGTGCTGACAACACCAAGCCAAGGGTTAAAATCCCCTTACCGGTCATCTAATAAAAAAAAAAAAAGAAAGAAAAAAAACTATATATATGATTTGGGAATAACTAGATATCCACATACAGAAGGATGAAATTGGACCCTTTCCTAACACCATATTCAAAAATTTACTGAAAATGGATTAGAGACCTAAATAGAAGAGCTAAAACTA